TAGTGATCATTGATAAATCTGGAGACAACAGATGCTAGAGAGGATGTGGAGAAATAATAACACTTTTGCACTGTTGGTGAGAGTGTAAATTAGTTCAACCATTGTAGAAAACAGTGTGGCAATTTCTCAAGGATCTAGAACTAGAAATTCCATTTGATCCAGCTATCCCATTACTGGGTATCTATGCAAAGGATTATAAATCATTATATTATAAAGTCACATGCACATGTATGTTCATTGCAGCACTGTTTACAATAGCAAAGAGTGAAACCAACCCAAATGCCATCAATGATAGATTGGACTAAGAAAATGTGGCACATCTACACCATGGGATACTAAGCAGCCATAAAAAATAATGAGTTCATGTCCTTTGTAGAGACATGGATGAATCTAGAAACCATCATTCTCATCAAAGTGACACAAGAACAGAAAACCAAACACTGTATGTTTTCACTCATAAGCGGGTGATAAACAATGAGAATACTTGGGCACAGAACAACATTCCAAGGGCTAGGTGGGAGGGGTGGGGGGGGGAGGGGAGGGGATGGGTGGGACAGCAGGGTGCAGGGAGGATGGGGAGGGATAACACTGGGAGAAATGACTGATGTAGGTGACAGGTGGGGGGATGGAGACAGCAAACCAACATGGCATGTATGCATCTCTGCAACAATCCTGCAAGATGCAGGAAGTTTGCATATACCCCAGAGCCCAAAGTACAAAAAAAGAAAAGAAAAGAAAATTGACACTCTATCACCACAATTAAAAGAACTAGAGGAGCAAGACCAAACAAATTCAAAAACTAGCAGAAGATAAGAAATAACTAAGATCAGAAGAGAACTGAAGGAGATAGAGACACAAAAAAATCATCAAAAAATAAATGAATCCAGGAGCTCGTTTTTTGAAAAGATCAACAAATAGAGTGCTAGCCAGAATAATTAAAAAGAAAAGAGAAGGACCAAATACATGCCATAAAAAATGATAAAGGGGATATTTCCACTGATTCCACAGAAATACAAACTACCATCAGAGATTACTCCAACACCTTTATGCACATAAACCAGTAAATCTAGAAGAAATGGATAAGTTTCAGGACACTTAAATCCTCCCAAGACTAAACCAGGTAGAAGTTGAATCCCTGCATAGAGAAACAAGTTCTGAAATTGAGGCAGCAATAAACAGCCTACTAACCAAAAAAGCACAGGACCAGGTGGTTTCACAGCAAAATTCTACCAGAGATACAAAGAGGAGCTGGTATCATTCCTTCTGAAACTATTTGCAACAATAGAAAAAGAGAGAATACCCCTAACTCATTTTATGAGGACTACATCATCCCCCTACAAAAAAACCTGGCAGAGACACAACTAAAAAAGAAAATTTCAGGCCATTATCCATGATGAGCATCTGTGTGAAAATCCTCAACAAAATACAGAAAATCCAAATCCAACAGCACAGCAAAAAGCTTATTTATCACTATCAAGTTGGTTTCATCCCTGGGATACAAGGCTGGTTCAACATACACAAATCTATAAACATAATCTATCACATAAATAAAACCAAAGACAAAAATCACACGATTATCTCAGTAGATGCAGAAAGGCCTTTGACAAAATTCAACAGCACTTTATGTTAAAAAAAACTCTCAATAAACTAGGTTATCTATGGAGAGTATCTCAAAATAATAAAAGCTATTTATCACAAATCCACAGCCAATAGCATACTGAATGGGCAAAAACCAGAAGCATTCCCATTGAAAACTGGCACTAAACAGTGGTGCCCTCTCTCACCATTTCAAGTGAACATGGTATTGGAAGTTCTGGCCAGAGCAATCAGGCAAGTAAAAGAAATAAAGGGTATTCAATTAGGAAAGGAGGAAGTCAAATTATCTCTATTTGCAGATGACATGATTGTATATTTAGAAGACCCCATTATCTCAACCCCAAGATAAACAACTTCAGCAAAGTCTCTGGATACAAAACCAATGTGCAAAAATCACCAGAATTCCTATAAACAAATAGCAGACAGACAGCCAAATCATGAACAAATTCCCATTCACAATTGCTACAAAGAGAATAAAGTACCTAGGAATACAACTAGGGGCATGGAGAACCTCTTCAAGGAGAACTACAAAGCGAGGACACAAACAAACAGAAAAATATTCATGCTCATGGTTAGAAAGAATCAATATCATGAAAATGTCCATACTGCCCAAAGTAATTTTTACATTCAATGCTATCCCCATCAAGCTACCATTGACCTTTTTCACAGAACTGGAAAAAAACAAAAACAACCAGAAAAACCTTAAACTTCATATGGAACAAAAAAGGAGCCTGAATAGCCAAGTTAAAAAAAAAAAAAAAAAAAAAAAAAAAAAAAAAAAAGCTAGAGTCATCACAATACCTGCCTTCAAACTATACAACAAAACTACAGATATCAAAACAACATGATATGGTACTGGTAGGAAAACAGAGATATAGACCAATGGAGCAGAACAGAGGCCTCAGAAGTAAAGTCCAACATCTACAACAATCTGATCTTTGACAAACCTGACAAAAACAAGCAATAGGGAAAGGATTCCCTGTTTAATAAATGGTGTTAGGAAAACTGGCTAGCCATGTGCAGAAAGCTGAAACAGGATCCCTTCCGTACACCTTATACAAAAATTAACTCCAGATGGATTAAAGATCTAAACATAAACCTTACACCATATAAACCCTAGAAGAAAACCTAGGCAACACCATTCAGGACATAGGCAAGGAGTTCATGACTAAAACACCAAAAGCAATGGCAACGAAATAAACTAATGGGATCTAATTAAACTTAAGAGCTTCTGCACAGCAAAAGAAACAATCATTAGAGTGAACTGGCAACCAACAGAATGGGAACAAATTTTTGCAATCTACCCATCTGAGAAAGGGTTAATATTCAGAATCTACGAAGAACTTAAACACATTTACAAGAAAAAACAAACAAACAACCCCATCAAAAACTGGGCAAAGGATATGAACAGACACTTCTCAAAAGAAGACACTTATGCAGCCAAAACATATATGAAAAAATGCTCATCATCACTGGTCATTAGAGAAATACAAATCAAAATCACATTGAGATACCACCTCATGCCTGTTAGAATGACTATCTTTCAAAATCTGGAGACAACAGATGCTGGAGAGGATGTGAAGATATAGGAAGGCTTTTACACTGTTGGTGGGAATGTAAATTAGTTCAACCATTGTGGAAGTCAATGTGTCAATTCCTCAAGGATCTAGAAATAGAAATACCATTTGACCCAGCAATTTCATTACTAGGTATATACACAAAGTATTATAAATCAGTCCATTATAAAGACACATGCACACATATGTTAATTGCTGTTTACAATGAAAGCTAACTATATACAATGGAAACTAAATATATACCATGAAATACTCTGCAGCCATAAAACGAGGAGTTCATGTCCTTTGCAGGGATATGGATGAAACTAGAAACCATCATTCTCAGCAAACTAACACAAGAACAGAAAACCAAACACAGCAAGTTCTCTTTTATAAGTGTATGTTGCACAGTAAGAACACATGGACACAGGGAGGGAAACATCACACACCAGGGCCTGTTGGGGGCATAGGAGCTAGGGGAGAGATAGAGGGGGTGGGGAGATTTGGGAGGCATAACATTAGAAGAAATACCTAATGTAGGTGATGGGGTGATGGATGCAGCAAATCACCATGACATGTATATACCTATGTAACACGGTATATCTGCACATGTACCCCAGAACTTAAGAATAAAATACATACATACATACATACATATTTAATAATTTCTTCATCTAACTCAAAAGAGTAAAAACTAGTATGTCATTAATTAGGTGTCAAGCATTTATTGAAGGACTTTGTAATATTACTTTATTTAATACCTAACAAAATAGTTAAATAAACTATTTTTTATGTTGAACAATTCCTAGAAGTACAAAATTACTGGTCAAAAGTCAAATTTGAAGATATAGTGAGACAGGGATATGCCAAGGCAATCTGGCTTCGTGGTACACTTCACAGTTACTACATAGTATTGACGTCAAATTAGTAGAAACAAAAATCACAGTGACTATTGTCTCTAACTTTGATTGATATTGTAATCCAAACTGTGTTCCCTAACATTTACATGTTTAAATTGTAATCCCAGTACCTCAGAATGATGTGAATTTATTGGGAGATAAGCCTTTACAAATGTATATCTTGTTGACTGCATTCACAAAAGCGATTGTTCCATAGCTTATATTTAGCTTGTGTTTTGACAGAGATTTTCTGACACACCAGAAGCTAAAACAAACCTCTCCGTGTCTTCATAGATGGACCCTGTGGTAGAGTCTTCCTTCAGTACTTAATCAGGCTGTCACTGAACCTAGGGTGCAGTCTGAGGTGAAAGCTTGGGGTGTTCTCAGGTCTTTTCTGTCTTGCCCTGGAAATGTATGTGGATTTCTAAATCACACCATATATGCAGGTGTTTTAAATGGTCTAAAATCCGAGAGAATCTCTTCTAAGCTTTACCTGTTAGGACTTAGGTTGTCAAGTGTACTCTTCAACTGTGATCTTTTTTCTCAGGCAAGGCTTACTGCTTTTGTGAATGGGATCAGTTCCAAGTCAAATAAAACAGAGATGAACACCTTTAATCAGTCCTTCCTGCAAGAAGTCCTTTTCAACCTTGCAGGTTGGAAAATACAACTGATTTTAGCAGTCCCTAACCTTTTTGGCTCCAGGGACCAGTTTCATGGAAGACAAAACTGAGAGAAGTGTGGTTCACGGTGAAATTGTTCCACTGCAGATTATTGGGGATTATTAGCTTCTCATAAGGAGCATGCAACCTAGATCCCTTACATGCTCAGTTTACAATAAAGGTGGCACTCCTATGAGAATCTAATGCCACAGCTGATCAACAGGAGGCAGGTGGTAATACTCCTTAGACAACTGCTCACCTCCTCTTTTGTTTTCAGGTTCCTAACAGGCCACGGATCAGTATCACAGACCAGTTTCAGTCCGCAGCAAGGGGTTTGGGACCCCTGAAATAAATAATAGTTTTTTAATGAAGTTTGCTCCGCTGCCTCCAGACCAGGGCTCTGTACTAGTAACACAGGCTGCTGTCTTCAAGCGCCATCAGTAAGTCAGGTAAGAGGTGGGGCAATGGCATCTGAAAAAGTCACAAAAGTTTCCTATCATTTTACATTCTCTTTTTCTTAATTAAGCATTCACTTGATCACTGTAAGTCTCTGACTGTTTTTTAGATAGAACGACGTTGCTTCTGACAGTTTAAACTTGTTTTCAATATTTCTGGGCGCTGGGAAAAACCTGCTGCTGCCTATTCTGTGGTCTTGCTGATGTCACTCCCAAATGTCATCGGTTTTAAAGATCTTTGCCTGTTTGACAGTTAAAATTCATACCCATAGGTTTTTTGTTATAGTTTGTTTTTATTTTCTTTTTACCTTAATTAGTGCTCATGTATCCTGATTATTGTGTCCATCCTTTCATTGTTTATTTTAAAATTAAACAATACTGATTTTTCTGAATTCTACTGGGGCAAATAATGTCAAAAACATACTTTAAATATCAAAAGTAAAATTGCTGTGTGTTTTTAAACTACATTTTCAGTAAAAATGTAGTAAGCTAAAATATCTACGTATTATATATACTTTAATAAACTATGAAATTTGCCCTGCAACCCATAACTCTACATTTTAATTAAGTTAAATCACTTCATATAAGGAACTGTTTCGACAAATGGGATGGCTGTTTCTCTATTTGTTCAGAGTTAATCATAGCCCAAGCTATTTTTGTATATACTTTCTAAGAAATTTAATCCATATGTATACACTTTAATAAGCTATGAATATTCAGTGCCTTTCCAGTGTATTTCTTGTAGCACTATTTATCTGTTCACCAACATACATTAAGCTAAAATTCTCTGGATGTTTTGTTTGTTTGTTTCAGGCATAATGCTTCAATGTGAGGAGTCTTCCAAAGTGATTTACAGATTAGTAGAAAAGATAAACATGGAACATATATGGGTACAAGTTAATGTTAAGTAAAATTTAATGTTACATCTTGAGCATGAAATTTTATGTAATCTTAGATTGTTGTGGATTTCAGGGAACTCCATTTATAAACGAATAGTATTTTTTTCTCAGCTTTTATTATATATATTGCTTAGTTTTAAATCAAACCTCAGAACTTCAGCATCTTGTGTACTATTATTTCCATTTTGCAGATTAGAGAAATGTTAAAAATCTGAGTATTTTGACCCCACAGCATCTATAACACAGTGCTAGAACTTGCTCTACACAATTCTGTATTTCAAAATTTAATCCTGTTAAACAAGAAGTTATTCTGATTCTCAACTTTTCTTTCGATTTCTTTACTTAACTTTGCATTAATACTGGTTTATTCAATCTTGACATTTGCTCAAAAACCCTATGCATATATATTTCTTGTCTTTTATTATGCTATTTAAATCCTCCTTCTGAAATATAAGTTGGATGGCTGGTTAATGTGGGTTTATATTAACTGTCCAGTGATCTGTAAACCTGAGGGGTTTGGAGAAAACTCCAGGGTCATGCACAAACCCAGTTCTATGTGAAGTTTCTACTTTTAATGAAGTCAATGTACTCAAAGACACATTTTTATATCTAATGCTGTGCTTAACCCTTACTTCAGTCCATCTTAGGTCTGTGCCAGGCCCTTATACCGCAGTTATCATTTATTGCTTCATAGCTGAGCCAACCCCTAACAGTAGTGCTGTATATTTCTACTCTATATGGATATATTGGCCCCAACAGCTGCCTCTGAATATTTTGAATATACTTGTGAATGAGCTGCCAAGTAGAGTGGTAAATTTCACAGTCACTCTTGATTCTATAACTCATGCTGCTGCTTATGTCCCTGATACATCAGTTGTTTTATCTATAAGAATCGCTGTCTACCTTTCAACAGAGATTCTAGCAACAGATCTCAAACTGTCTCTTAGGTGGTAGATGATTTTCCCTGATTTCTCCTAGGAATGTATTTCTCTCTAAATTTTTATATTTCTCTGCTGTTTTCAGCAAAGTTTTGTTGGAAGACTGCTTTGAAATTTGCCCTTTAGCCCATAACTCTACATTTTAACTAAATTAAATCAGTTAATACAATGAACTGTTTCCATAGATGGGACTGCTCTTTCTCTATTTGTTTAACGGTTAAGCATAGCCCAAGCTATTTTAAATACACTTTCTAAGAAATTTTATCTACATATATACACTTTAATAAGCTATCAATATTCAGTGCCTTTCCAATATATTTCTTATAGCACTATTTATCTGTTCACTATCATAGATTAAGCTAAAATTCTCTGGATTTTTTTTTTTTGTTTCAGGCATTATGCTTCAATGTGAGGAGTCTTCTGAAGGGATTTACAGATTAGTAGAAGAGAAAAGCATAGAACATATAATGGATACAAATATATATAGATGGAAAACATGTGCAATACAAAGTAAGCTTTAAAAAGATGATCACAATATTATCATCGATAATCAGATATTTTAAATTTGCCTTTGTAACTAATGTGTCTTACTATTTGAGGAGAACTGTAACAGGTAGAGATTAGAAAGTTTTTTTTTTTTTTTTTCAGAAGGTATATCGGCATCCACTGGGAAAATTGTTGGCCTTTGTAGTAGATAATTCATGTTAATCAAGCTAGCCCTCTGAACTTTACTGTATTCATTCATCTAGTACAATTTCCCAATGTGGTTATGTTTGAGCTTGAATTGAGACAACTCAGGCTTATGAACCACTCAGTTCCAATTGAAATCAGTGTGCTTTATGGTGCACTGAACTTTCATGATTTGGAAACGTATTATTTTAATAATACAAGCTTTTTAACTAAAAAATTCTTAAGGTAAAACTTAACAAAATTTAAAAAGCCATAGTACAATAATTTTATATTTGCTGTTATGAATGGAATTTCATTTTAATAAAGTTTAAGAAGTCCACTTTGAATATTTTTAAATTTTAAGAGGAAAATAAAGGCAAATGTTAATTTAAGTGTAAAACTGTGTTGTGTACTTATGTTTTTATGATTTAGTTCTTTAGGCTACATTTTTAGTAATTCAATATTCTTAGTCATTAAATTAGAATTATTGGGATTATATTTTAGGGATTTATTATTCAGATAAATGCTGTGGTTAGATTTATGTCAATTTTCAATGCTTTTTCTTGGTATTCTCTGAAATAGAATTTCTATATTTTCTAATTACAGTATTTGAAGTATAGAAATAACTATAATGTTGGTAATGGAAACACATACTACTCTCAATTACATAATTATGTAATACCAAAATTTCTTGTTGACTTTAACAATGACAATTACTAAATTACTGTTATTAGCATAGGTGTACTAATCAATATCTCTGCTTACAAAATACTTATGGAATTTCTAAAAGTATAATCATAATATGGTGTAGAATTTAAATAGTCACATGAATTATACATGTGAATGGACTTCTAAGAAATGTATATATACATATATATTTGTTTGTACATGTGTTTGTGCTCTGATATACATGTTTATGATACATGTCTATAATCATATATATAAATTATCTAAAAATTAAAAAATTAAAAAAATAACATCAATAACTAATAATCATTCAAAAGAAAATGCTACAGGTATACTTGATGTTTTTTGTCTAGCTATAAATTGATATATAGCTCAATTATGTATATTTCCTTATATATTTTACATGCTACTGATTTAGCATCACTTAACTAACATATTACTAGTGAAATAACTCTAACATATACAGTTAAGATTAGACATGTCTTAATCTGAAAGTATACATCAAATTTTTTATCTTTTCATGTTTATTGTGTAAACTATAACATTTTATATTGATAGTAAATCTATTCATATGGTGCTATAAATTATTTTTAAACTTATCACAGGGTCTGATAAACAATAGATATCAAATATATATTTTTTGTATACATGAATATATATGTTACAAACAAATATTTTTATTTACAAAGAGTAAAGAGGACACTTAATAACTATTTAGAATCTCTGTTTACCAGATGCCAATGCTCCTAACTGTGGATTTGAAGATCAAACTCTATTCTGTAAACCTTAAATAGTTATAACATCTCCCTACTATCACTTACTAGTTATTTCTAGCCCCTGTACTATTCCTTCTCTGACAACAGTCATGCAAATTACCTTTTAAACTCATGATAGGAAAGCTTTCATAGTTTCCCCATTTTTATTAATACCTCTCTGGTTGGAATTTTACAATTAAACAATGTTGGAATCGAGAGCCTATTGTCAATAAAATTTTGTGATAACATATAACACCATCGTTAAATGAATTACTAAGATTTAATACACTTAATTTTGTTCCAGGTACACATAAAGCCCATAGATATATGACTACTTAAAAATAAACGACTCTTACGAAATTGATCAGTATATTTTAAAATAAAATTCTTTTCAAATCCCTTATATTCTACAACCAATTGTTCTAGAGTTTAGTACTGTTAAGAGTGTTGCTACAAACGTTTCAAGTTATTTATATATATACTTATATATGTATGCCAAAGTTTTTTTTTTAATTAACACAAACAGAACTGTTCTGCATCATTTTAAAAGATTTATGACGTTTTCACTGTTAGAAGTTTAGACACATGTTATTATTCTTACCTGATACATAATACTTCATAGTAATAGTACATTATACTATAACATGAGAACAATTTTTAACATTTCATCATACAAATATTTCTGTAATTAATGTATTTTGAAATAATGCTTTGTGCATTCGTATTGATATTTCCTTAGGGCAAACACATAGAAGGGTAAATTTCTAAGAAGATAAGAAGAGAAAGGTGTTTTGGTTTGAAATAAAAACAAACAAACAAACAAAAAACACCTGAACTCCAACTGACTTTTACAATGAAAAAGATTTATCAAATCATATTACATATTCCAGAGTGATTGAACATTTTGTAACTGGTTCACCATCAAGTACACAGATTCTTTTCCCCTTCCCTGTGTCCCATCCAGAGTTTACATCTTCAGAACATTTCTTCTTGATTATAAGGAGGCTGTGAGCAGCAACTTGACTATATATTCTTGGATGGGTAACAAGATCATGGCAGTTAACTGTGTGGCTATTTTTTTCTCAGTTTTAGCAGTTTTGTTTGCCATTTTATTAGGCATGATCTATCCAGTAGCTTAACAGTCATATCCTAAAAATATATTCGGCAAAGTGAAAATCCCACATAAAGCTTATACTTTATAAGATATATTTTAGAAGAAAAGATATAATACCTATAAAAACCGACTTTGAATACTATACAATTAGTATCATCTATGGTGGAGATGAACAATCTTCTCTGGGGACATGGAAATGTACTTAGTAAATTCAGAGACCTTACTTCATCAAGAAGTCTTGGGATATGATGTACTTCCAAATACATAAATTATATCTTTTATTTTAGATTATTTGTTTATGTTTGTTACTGTTTTCTGATATCTAACAAAGAGGTAGTATTCATTTAGGAAAATTACATTATACATAGTAATTCAGACTTTTTTTAATACTATAGTAGGTTGTACTTTTCTTAGACAGTCCAAAGAAATAATATTAGGGAGTTTTACATTTGACAGAAGCCTAATAAACATTTAGTATCCAAACTTGAAGCAATAAAAAAACCTATTCGTATAAATAGAAAACAAAATCATCATCTGGTTATTTATTTAACAAATGATATTTTAGGTTCTCAAATATTCAAATATCTTGATACCTTTTCTTTAATATCTGTTGGTATTTGAGGATTCAATGTTACATGTTTTAAAATGTTACAAGTAAAAGCAAAATAATATTAAATGTAGTGATTTTATAAATTATATAATAAAAAATTTTAAATCTCTTTTAAATGAAAATGTATCTACATATTGTGATTACATGTTTTAAACATGATGCATTTTTGATACTTTGTTAAATAATAAAAAATATGTTAGTTTTAAATAATCAAAAATTCCAATAACATCAGAAATAAAGTGATGATGTCACTAATAGCCAACAGTTTGTCATTGTACTATTAAGCTATGAAAGCCCCAAATATGTCCCATTTAAAGTAAAATTATTTCCAATTTTAAAAAATTATAAATAAGAACTCATAGAGACTTTGCAGTGGTAGGTATCTTCAAATCCACCAATGACTTATTATGACTAACTGAATGCACCCAGTACTCTGTAAAATAAGAATTTTTCCTCAAGTCTCCACTTTTGTTTATGTGATCTGACAATATTTTGGCTTATATGAATACCACCTACAACCAGATTTCTACTGACAAATTATAAAAGGCAGAGGACTATTTTGAAAGAAAGATTAGGAAAACAAACAAAATTGTCTGTGTATAGACAATAATGCTCTTACTGCCAAAAAGAAAATGAATATCCTGTTTGAAAGCTGTGCTAGTCAGTTACTTTATCTGAAAAGAATCGTAGGATACAGAGAGTTCAGGATATGTAAGAATATCAATTTTTTTTTACCACTCCGTTTAGAGTCTTCTCTAAATGTGAGATCAGTCTGTTGTGATTTACTGAAAAATAATCTGGGCGAATGTCTGTATGCAAACAGATATTATTTGAAAATGTGAACATTTCTTCAAAAAAAGGTAAATTTTAGGGCTTTCAAATGATTCATTTTTACACTAAGTTCAAGAACAAAATCTGCTTTTAGATGTATATTCGTGAATGAGAAAAAAGTGAGTTTCCTTTTATTTTATGGCCAATACTTTCCAGGACCATAAAGGTTGCTTAATGGGATTTCCTAATTGCTAGCTGTATCTTTGAATCACTTGATAATCATTTTCACATATATTAGAATCTTTAATATTTTGTGGATGTCTTCTCTCTAATTGTGCTAAAAATGTAGATGAAATATTATAACCTTGACTAGAAGAAAAGACTATTGTGTTATTTTCATAAGAAATGTTACAAAGTCTTTCAAAAAGACTGGCTAAGTATACAGTAAATAATGAGCTCTTATGCCAGGTTGGTATGAATTGTTTTGAAGGCATTGAGCTGCTGCACCATCTTCATTTTCACACTAAAGCCAGGCATATTGCAAGCAATTAATCATGCCTTCTTTATTGTTTCAGATTAAATGCATTTTACACACTTTTTGTTTAGAATTTAATTTAATTACAAATCATTCCTATGTAAAGCAGTCATTAATTTACTAAGTTTATAAAAAGGAAGACACAACAGAGAGACAAAAGAAATGGCTTATTGTTGAAATAAGAATAACAGATTAAATGTATAGTTCTGTTTGATAAAAAAACAGAACATTACTGTTAATTTTATCTAAAACTGTGAATAGTATTGATGAAAATTGCATTATTCTTTTATAGATCAGATTGTAGAAAATATTCAAATAGACTTATTCATGCAGTTTCAAATTCATCTACTCAGGAGGCTGAGCAAAATAATTCCTTGAACCTGAAAGGCGGAGGTTGCAATGAGCCAAGATCTCACCACTGCACTCCAGCTTGGTGATAGAGCAAGATTCTCTCTCAAAAAAAAAAAAAAAAAGCAAAACAAAGAAAAAGAAAAATATAACCATGTGAATAAATGTGTAGTTAAGCTTTCAATTTTTAAGTATAATTTATTAATATCTATATAG